AGAAAGAGGAATAAAAACCGATTTTTATTAAGATAATAATAAATTATAAGATTATAATTAATACACAATAATTATTTTGTATAATACTAAAGACATTAAATAATCCAAATTTATTTTTACCATTTTAAAATCATATAATTTTTCTTTTATATCAAAAATCTTATATTAATAAATTAAAGAAATATAGATGTATGAGAGTATGGAAACTAAAAGGTCATGAATATGTAAAAATTTAATTATAATTCATTTAAGTAATAAAAAATATAACTTTAATTAAATTTATTTTATTAAAATTGATAATAAAAAATTAAAAGACACATAATTAATAAAATAATATATAAATAATCATTATTATGTTATTTTAATATTAATTTTAAAAATAATGACAAGAAGACCGAGAAGATGTCATAAACAAATGCGCAACTCAGAAGTACTGTGGCAACCTGAGTTATGAAAAGATGTCAAAAGCAATGGTCTGGAACTGAATTTATTAAGACATAAAAACTAAATTAAGGAACCATGATGTTTGGTAGTCGAGCCATCCGTAAGACTGTTATCATCAAACAGGTACCTGTAACCTAAAAAACCATCAATTTATTAAGGTTAAATACCCAATTTGATCACTCAACTTTCATTTTTGAATCAAATTTAGCCTAAAGTTTTAAAAAATATTAAAAATATCTTTAAACTTCAATTTTTGAGATCAATTTAGTCCTTCGTGATGGAAGTGCCTGATAGCACATTAAATTGCCACAAAATCAATCCTTTTCTTAAATCTTTAATGACATGTCAAGTGAAACATGCATAAGGTGATGAGGTGGTCACTTTTTTCTTTCCATATGGTTAGACCCGGCAAATGGACGGGTTGGGTCGGGTTTGGGTTAGGTCAATTCGGTGACGGGTTATACGAGTTAAGTCATGAATGGGTTGCAGGTTGGAAAAGCCCAACCCTAATGGGTTATGAGTTAACCCGCGAATTGACCTTATTTTCATTCTTTATAATTATTTTTTTATTAATTTTATTATATACAAATAAAATTATATATATCTAAATCTAATTAAATTATTGTGATTCATTAAAACTAATTACTTTATAATCTCAACCACAAATAATTAAATTAAGAAAAAAATTATAAAGTTATAAATAATAACAAGTTGATTAACAATAACAATATTAAACGTAAAATATTTAAATTTCTTAGAAAATAAAGTTTTAATTCTATAATCATCTTGAAATATTATTAAGTAATTTAA